CTCAGTCCAATTAAGCGTAGCTATCTGTGGAGCCGACATCCCTTCAGGCCCTTCGGTATGTATGCCCACTAGCCCTCTGGCTCGAATAACGTACCGTTTCTTTTTCATGATGATCAAAGATTAATGCCAACTCAATTTTAATTATTAGAATTTATAACCACTAATACATTAATAACAATGCATCCAATAAATTGTACTCAATAAGTAATGACAATTTCGTTTCAAACGTGAAAATATACACTCGTGGCAAATAACGATTACGCAAATTCATGTGACGTGGAGTGGCATTGGTCGTTGACAAACACTGACTACAGATGCTATTAAAAGATGTCGAAGCGTTGCGAAATTTCCGCTATATCGTGGCTATTTAATGCTACGCGTTAAATTTTAAATTTTTAACCCAACTAGAAAAGACGAGTCAAATATTTAAATAGCTTCTTGATAAAAATTTTCTTTATAAAACCTGTAGTCAGTAATCAATATCAATATATTTGCGATTATTATTGCTTTTTAATTTCCTTAAAAGGACATTCGTAATCGCAAATACACATGTAAATCTAGACTACTATCCCAAAAAGTTGAGAAAAAATAATATTATATACCAGTATTGTGTAAGATGCAAAAGAACTATAATTTCACAAATTTTTAAAAATTTATGTAATATTTCAAATTGTCAAATAGCAAGAAGTAGTCTAGAACATAATGCATTTTTTTAACACGCAGTTAACATACATTATTAAATTACAGTTTAAACACCGTCTTATGAAAAACGAAATATTTTTTGCACAAGAAGTGTTTTGCATTTCCACTCGTTTTCGTAATATACGTGAGCTATTGGAACTCATACTCAGCCGTCTATCTTTTTACCAGTAGAATAGCCATAGTCTCGATATAAATTTTGATAATTTTTCACGATTATCGATATCATTAAACATTTAGGGGGACGTTTCTACTGGCGAAAACTTTTCTCGTAATTATCCTTTAATCACTGAATCAATCAATCGATCAATTTTCTTCCAAACATGTGAAGATTGTTTTCAACGTAAAACGATAAAATTTGATTGTATGAAATTTAAGTAAAGTTTAAAAAACTAAGAAATAACATGTGACGATCGAATTTTAAATTTCTCTCGAAAATTGAATCGGCTAGCTCGAGGATAAATTAACAGAAGTCATCGCCAGTCGTGACGTCGGAAAACGGATCGGAATATCCTTTCACTTGTCACGTCGATCGAAAATATCAACCGTCGCGGCCATATGGAGATATTTGGCACCTCGGTGATATTGCTGATGATTTTGGCACAGCCTGTGCCATCAGCTTCGTCAAACTGTGAAATTGAGAACACCTGGTGCCAATTAAGCTGGCGAAATCGACATTTCGGGTATAGGTTTGTTTTTTGAGCGCGTTCCACATTTTTCGAAACAGACTGCGAAATTGTATTCTTGCTTAATCTCCAAGTGAGTGCTTTTCTCAAGACAAACAATTTTTTTTACAAATCGAATAACATACACAAACACCAAGAAAAAAATCTAAAAAACGTCCGAAAGGTGCCTCAACGTTGCAAGTACCCTTCAGACACCTTTCAGACGCGTTTTTTTTATTTCTATCCTGTTTGAGATCTCACCAAAGACAAGTGATTAACGACAGACTCGACTCTATCAATTTGCAAAAACCGAGAGTGTCCGATGCAGATTTAATGTAATGAGACCGATGCTACAGCAAACGAATGTCTATCATTTCAGGAGCGTTATACTACTATTATTCGCAGCCAGTTCCACGATTTCACTTTACCAGCCCGTGGTATAATAAACGTACCACGAATTAAGCGAAAAAAAGTGAGCGATAAGAGATTAAAATGGTCGAAGTGTTGAATCCCTCGCACCCCATTCACTCGTTTAATAAGTCAAACAATCAATAATCTCAATCAGAGTCGGCGGGGATAGTGGTGGCGCATCACGATTCCGAATACGGTTCTCGTTTGCGTCACTTAAAGCGTATTACACTCGCTATTAACCTGCAAGTAGAACGTAACAAATGAGTGATCAGCGTATATATACATCGTAATAGGCCCGTGTTACGGCGGCTGTTTGAATGAGAGAGAATTCGGGCCTCTTAACCCTTGGGCTACCACGCGTGTCTCTTCATTTTCGTTAATTACCGTTACATCGACAGTCCCATATGTCGGAAAATGCGTTTCTCCCCTCGCGTAACCCCCCGATTACACTCGTGTATTAACTCGACTGTTTTTTTTCCCAAATGTTTTTCCCAGAATGCGTCACAAGAATATTCCCTAATCCCTGCGGTAATTATTAAATTACCGAGCCATTACTCCGACTGAGGAGCCGCTGACAGAATCTCGAACACGCGGTACGTGCCCGACAATATCTGCCTGTCCCCAGTGGTGAAATAATTGTATTTGTACAGTGATTAAAAAAAAAGCTCCATTCCGCAAATTACGATCGTTGCTTGATGCACATTTGCCGCATTTATTTGTAAACACTAGAAGAGTTTCAGTTTTGCTCCTCAGCGCCAAAGTGACTCTAATTCGTTAAATATCTTTTTGAATAGCTAGAAATCTTATAGAATTTTAATAATCTTATTATCGATGGAGGAGAAACAATAAAATTATCCGTACGTCTATTATTAATTTTATAAATTTTATAAATTTAACTTTCTTGTGTGATTAAAGTAAAAATATGAAAAGGACAATGCAATGATTTCTTAATATAGAAGCTAGTATATCTTCTAGTGTTAAAATCGATGTATCATTGTATGTATCGCTCGAGGATTATTACCATTCGCAAACCATAGCACTCACCGCTTGTGGGATCGACGCGACGTTTAGCATAACGACTAGTCGTTCTCGGCTGTCCCCGAAGACGCTCGCGGCAGTACAGAAGCGTCGTAGCCGAAGGGTTTCGTTAACGAAACATCATCCTAATTCCTCACGTAATCGGTAGCATAATCATCTAATCATAAAGTTGTTTTACAATCAACATCTCTCACGACGGTCTGTACTAGGGATCGGACAACGCGCCGGAATCCGCCGCGGATACGCCGCGGATACGCCGCCATTTTGAGATTTGAGGGTCGATTGGTCGAAAGTCGAAAGCAACCGACGCGCCGTGCGTCGCGCCCGCGCCCGCGCCGCGCGAAGTTTCAAACTGTACTACTCTAATGCAAAAGTAACCATTCGAATGTTTATTATGTTCAATGTGGTTTAACCTTAAATAATTTATATTGTATTATATTTTAAAATAATGTAAAATATTTTAATAATTATTTATATTTACGTAAATATAATATTTTTACCATTATATTTACTTAACACATATTGGATGTAATAAATATGATACGAAACGGAAGTGACTCTCGAATGGCGGCAATCAATCCGCAGTCTGTTGACGTATTGTCTGATCCCTTACTAGAGGATCCCTAGTCTGTACATGATTTGAGAACCTGTATTTTATGAACCATCATTTTACTCATTTTTTTTTTCATGTACACATATTTTCAACTAATGTGTATATCAAATGAGTTTTTTCAGTGAAAGACACTTGTGTGTCGAATATTTATGTCTCGAATACTCCCAGACGAGTGTACCGGGAGGCCTCGTTCACGGTGTAATATTTCTGTTCGATGTAGTATAGCTAATATATCAATATATTAAATGTCGCGTAGAGTAGTTCAAGTTACTACTTATAATTTACCAGTTTTCAGCTTGCTGTGTTAAATTTAGACTCATATTTAGCGATTGATGTTGATGCCTTTATAATACCGTGTTTACATTGTATTTATAAATGACTAACTGCCATCAGTATATAGTCGAAACATTACACCGCGTACAACGAGGATGTCTAAAAATCTGTTTTGTAATGTTTAACTGTACATCGTATGAAAATTCCATGAAATCGTTCTGTTAAATTTCCCAAAGGTTTCTACGAAAGGATACGTATTACAATTTGAAGATTAATGAGAATTCTTGCTGAGCATGGCAAATGTCAAAAATCTTTAGCGTCTCTAAAAATCCCGCATTTATTTTAAACGTCGCATATCAATTCACTTTGTACACTTTCTTCAGTAGAAACCTCGAAGTTAGGCTCTTATGGAAAAATAATAAATCAAGAATTGAGCTTATCTCGACGTCGCATTGATAAGCGCGATTAATCGACATAAAGATTTATGATTTCTCAAATATTATTTTTTTCATTTAAATATTTTTCCATAAGTGCACACGTGATCATTGTTCTGTTTTCTCATATTTGATCAACGCATTTCTCTTTTTACAGCTCACGCTTACTGATGACTGCCTGGTGCCACGCGGAAAGCGTGAAACAAAAAAAAACGACGAAAAAAAGAAAAAATGATGCCTGAAATAGGTCAACCAAAAAAAGAAAGAAAACTTACATCATGTCTCCCGAAAGAATTTTGGCGTCTCTATCACAGTGCATATTTCCACGGAATTTTATTTATTTATTAACATTTCCCGTCATATGATTTATTGTACGTTTCATCCATAATCTGAAATAAAATAAACACTGCCAAAATTTTATTACGCAAATATCAGTTTATCCGATCTCATTTCCCTTCCAGGCATAATTTTCAAAATGACATCCTCATAATTTTAATTACAACCATTTATGATTCATAATTCAATTTTTTGATTTAACAAAATTCGATAATTAATTCCGATAAGTTGAAATAGAATCATAAAATACATATTCTTGATTTGATTTGACAATAATCGTAAAGTACATTTTCCTCAATTATATTTTAAATTAGTAATGTAATGTAATATGTATAGTATATAACACATAAGTAAGAAAATCCTTAAAAGATTTAATATCTCCTTTAGTATCGAGAAAAATATGTATATTATATTATAATTATATATGATCAGCATAATTAAAAATCAACTTGTTGCGTAGTAGATTTATCTTACCCCATGTCTTCTTATTAAGGTTCTTACAGCACCAGGAAAGAATAACAAGCTGAAAAAGAGGTTTGTACAACAATATGCATGTTTATTATCTGAAAGTTTTACATCTCTAGGATGCCATTGCATAGCGTGTTCCGTCATCGGCGATTCGAACGATGTAACAACCCACAATAGTCGCAAACTCCTCTCACGAGTACGTCTTTCATTTAATTATTTATTTAATATAAAGTATCGTCGAATCGCGACCGGTCAAACCCTTTACAAATATAATATCTGTATATAATATATGAATCTCGGACAAAAAGAACGCACATATCAAGGGATCACAACCGCTCCTTTGACAATAATTAATCTTGCGTTTCTTTTTTGGGGGAGATTGGGAGAGAAACGCAGGGAGGGAAGAGGTGAGAAGGACACCTTCCGTTTCGTCGGCTCCAATTCTAATACATAACAAATTTGCACTGCATCTCTCTCGTACAAACAATAAATAACTTTGTCAAACGCTATCTGATAATGTTAAATAACAATTAAATAATGTGTAACCATTGAGTAAAACCATAGCATAAGAATGTGAAAACCAATCGTGGCGTCGCTATAGCACGAAAAGGCTCACTTTGTTTGATTGATCTCTGCTTCGGGGTGAGTTTTCAGTTTTGATGTACGATCTTCGTGTTTCCGGATCGTCTCCTCAATTATAATAGTTCACACGACATCTCATTAATCGCTAGTCTGCATTTAATTGTCGAGAAATGCGCTTTATCGATGCCTCGTTAATTTCGTATACATTTATTGGTTGTATTCATGAATATTTATGCCAATATTAAATATTAAATTTCTTGAAAAACACAACTGTGTAGTATTAGGAAAAAATATCTTCGCTATTAATACAATTTCATATATTATATTTAATCAGTCGCTACTTCCGTAGAGGACAGCAGCCTTCTTTGTACATGAGTAATTCCTAAAATTCCTGCATGTATAGGATATAATAATATTCTGCAATTTTGGTCGAAACGCACATCTTTCAGGCAGATTTCTGCTGCGTGGACGATCGCAAGTAATACAATGCCGCTTATAAAAGCACAGCGAGGAAATATTAATGCGGTTAAAAGTAAAACAATCGTATTATCCAAGCGATTTCTACAGCGACGAATCCATCAGCATTACGGGAAACACTTGAATAATCAATTAAAAAAAAAAAACGAAAAGAACGAAAAGCTAAGTAAACATATCATACAATTTAAATAAATGCACCAAACGCTTAAATGCAATTTGCCATCGTATGTTTTCCTGTTCAAAAATTTATGAGCTTTATCCTAGCACGTGAATATATCTTACGTCTAAAACATATAAGCATAAACATATATAATGTAATAAATTTCAACTTATGAAATCCAAACACAAAGGTCTGTAAAATCAGTACTGAAGTTCGCGCGATTCAAAATAATCTTTACAATATGCGATAAATCAAATAACAATGCACTCGCGTTCGCTTTCATCGTGAACGTAAAAAGCCGAGATTCTGCATCCAAACATGTTTTCCCCTGTATATACAATGCGACGTATCCTCGTTTTTTTTCTTCTTCACGATCCCCCCCTTCTTCTAGTATCCTTCGAATAAAGGCGAAATCATTAGCATTTACCTTAAAAATACTAGTTCTTTGTGTTTCTCTCCGGATTCATCGCCCGAGAATAAACAACCTAATTCGTCTACGACATATCTCTGGAACGTGCAGTCACTACCACGCTCGGAATACTGCACATGACGACATAATTAAATTCGTAATGGGTAATGGTTTAAGAAAAAAAAATTAATGGTCAAAAATATATATATGTATATATATATATATATCTATCTATATACATGCGCAGCATCTCTCATGAAACGATGACATTTAAATTAGCTGCTAAAGCAATGATAAAAATACTATTAAAAATAAAAATAATATTAATAATAACAGCGAGTCTCATAATTACACTCAACATCAACAGTGGAAGCAATAAATACAAATGAGAATGACAAAATGCTTTTTAAAGAACGCTAGCTTTGCGAAGGATTATTTCGTTTGACGCAAGATATAATTGCCGCGAAATTCTGAGAGCGATCCTTCGTCAAGTACGATGATAATCGAAACTTGATTCACCGCGAATTGTTTATATCTCTTATCTCATTAGAATGCAATTGAGGGAGAGGTAAATCTTACATATTCTTTTTTAAGGTTTATGTTTATCAGATTAGGTTAATTCTGTATCTCGACGTCTTCGAGCTGAAACACATGAAAATCAAAGGCTAGATCAGATACATAGGCATCCGAGGCATCTCGATATCTTCGACAAGCGCGTCGGCTATAAAAGCTTTGGGATTTTTAACAGCCCATGTGTGTCCGAGTAAATAAATCCATATAACATATTTTTGCCCCGTAAATCACGTCCACTTAAATCGTGTCCGTCCCGGAGTGCATGTACATGTGTTGGAAACGTCGCGTGCTAAATATTACATCTAAATCATCGGCGAACCATTGCGCGAACTTAAATACATCGAGTAACGTCTTACATGTCGCTTTCTTCCGCTCTCCTTTCATTTTTTTTTCTGTTTTCTCTTTTTCTGTTTAACTGATAATCGATGGGAAATAGACTCGTAATAATGCACATAAGTGGTCAGCTAATGCGATTAAGTAAGCTTTGACAAGCATAAAGCAGATTTACCTAGCATGATAGCCTCCATTAAGGATAATCGCGTTTGTTGCTGTGCAGGTTCGGTTGAAGGTTGTCATTTCTTTTTCGCTGGATTCCTTTGTGGTGTAGATGGTCTACCTGTTTGACCCGTGTTCATTCCTCCATATTGGTATTTCGCTTTCTTCTCTGACGGTTTCAAAATCTGCAAAAAGATGCCAGACACGGCGCGATAAACTTGGAATGTTGCATAAACGCTTCTAAAGACGAATAAAAAAGAAAAACTCTCTCGCTAATCACCTGGAAACTGCACATCAATGTTTCGTCAACGCTCATCATTCCACCGGCATTATCGAATTCCCCGCAGTAGTTTGGCGCGGAGAAAAGTGTGACGAGTTGTCGCTTGGCGAAGAACTCATAGCCATCTTCGACCACTTGATGTGCCCTGCATATGAGATCCATATCGTGACGATTCAGGAACTTCGACACGACGTCTGGACCGAATGTGAACGAGACTCCTCTATCGTTTTCGCCCCAACCCTGAAACATTTTCGTCGATAATGCGGTTAGAGCAGTCCTTCCTGTATTAATCTATATCTAAATTAATCAGTGCGTTAAAGCTCGCTTTACGTAAAAGCATCTCACCTGAACGTCTTTATCAGGATCAGACCATAAGAGATCACAGAGGAGACCGGTATCAGGTACATCGGTTGGACGCATGATTCTTCTGATTTGCTCCATTCCCTAAAAAAGACGGAGTATATGAATATACTGCAATCCAAGGTTTCTATTTCTATGAGAATTTCTCGTTTCTCCGCTAATCACCTGCAAGTCAGGACTGAGCCCGCCATGGCAACAGAAGATTTTCTCGTCGATGATCGCGGCGATCGGCAAGCAGTTAAAGCAGTCCGTAAAGGTCTTCCAGAGCTTGATGTTATACCGTCGCTTGCACTCGTCGTAAAAGCCATATATCCTGTTTATGCTGGCGCACTCGTGATTGCCGCGTAGCAGGAAGAAGTTCTCCGGATACTTGATTTTATATGCCAATAGGAGGCATATCGTCTCCAACGACTGCTTCCCTCGGTCAACGTAGTCGCCCAGGAACAGGTAGTTCGCTTCGGGCGGAAAGCCGCCGTACTCGAAGAGCCGCAGCAGATCGGTGTATTGGCCGTGTATGTCGCCGCAGATCTTAAGCGGCGCCTCCAACTCCAGCAGGATCGGTTGCTGCAGGAAAATCTCCCGCGACTTCAGACAGAGGCCACGCACCTCGGCCTCCGTCATGATAACAGTCTTGCCCGGTCGACATCCTCTGACTGTATGCCCAGAAATGTTTGCGGTTAATCGCGTAATTTTACTCGAGATCGCAACGATCCTTCATTAGTGCGGCGAAATCAGTCTCCGTTACACGTATTCGTTCAGAAAAAACAATAGTGAAATAAATAAAAGCACGGCAAATTCGTTACATTTATCCGTCGATACAATTTTACAGCTGACTTTCAATCTTTCCTCAAAGGCTTTTACGTCGAGTTAAAAATCTATCTTTAACGTAAGAACAGGCGGTCTATCTCTAGGGAAAAAAATCAATAATGCCATTGTCACGTATAATTAGCGCCATACTTATACCGCATTACTTATACCGTTATGCGCGTATTGCTTCTGGAATTACTCGAGCGTGATACGCCAATAATACATCATTATCCCGTCAATTTACCCCGTGAGTCTCTATTGAGACTCGTTGCCTTCGAGTACCCGTTGCCTTCGACTCACCGTACGCCGTGTTACGCACGGTTATGCAATTCGATTCGCGTCGTGTAGAGGAACAATAGAAAAACACGGCCGGCTGTATCGACGTTCTCGTTACAGTCGGTGCCGTCGAATCGATAATGAACGCTTAACGAGGCGATTCCTCGTTTCTGTCCGCCGCACTAATGAGGGATGGCCGTGGTACTCCTTCTTACAGGTACACCGAGCATAACTCTACTTTGGGGGCATGGAAGATGATTAGATAAGTTTCTGCCGGTATTAGCCGTCTCAATAAACAGGGATGATACACGATTACAGATTACGGTGAGGCCAGATCATCTTTGCCTATTCTCGAGCACATGGGTACAATCACGGTACTTCCGGCGTGGTCTACGGTGGTATCGCATCGATTATAATAGCGTCAAAGGCGTGAAATTACTGATAAGCTCGTTGGATAATGGATATAATGTCTCGGGAGTGCGAGGCTCTCTCTCTCTCTTGAGAGAGAGAGAGAGAAAGAAAGGGAGAGAAAGAGAGCTATTTTCGACACGGGTTTACACGATTCAACATAACGGAAACCTAAAATACCACTCAACTATGGATTCTGTATCCTAACTGGATCTGTAACGCTCTGGATGATTCAACTTCCCACGATTTCCTAATTTCTATCCTAGCCTATTTCGCGCGATCGCAATGCCATTTAGAATAAATGCATCGGTGAATAGATCTATGCACCGTCTCTGCGACCGTATAACGCAATTGTATTTTTACACAATTCATCGTCTGTACAATTATAACTTAAAGCGGTGATTCGTTGCAATTAAGAAAAAACAATCGACACCGATTTAGATAGAGATCCAAATTCAAATATATCTCACTTATAAACGCATCATTAAAGATGTAAATTTTTATATCCAAAATGCGGCAAAAATAATTCAGTTTGGTAACAAAAAAAATTGAATTATAACCCGTGTATATTCGTTAGATAAATTCACCAGCGCATTTAGTCTTAATATTTCATAAAGGTACCGAATATCGTTAGGTGACGTCACTCGACATTCAAAGCGTTAATAAGCGGCGAAGGTAAAGGGAATAGATGATTTACCCGACATCCAGTGCAGATCATCTCTCTTTATGACGCTATGGATGTGTCGTCGGATCGTTATTTATAGGCATAAAAGGGAATTCACGGTGCGGCTGAACTAGTCTGATACTGGCTATCGGAAAACTGCATATTAGCAAGGTCACGGCGACTATAGAGCGAAGATGCAGAGATTCCATTACCCGGGAGAGAAGCTATTGTCACTTTTATATATTCCAGGCGAAACGCTGGAAATGTCACTTTGTACCGCGGAGTCATCGGATGCTTAAAATAAGCGCTTAAAATAAACCGGAATAAAAACGGATTTCTTCAGAAATCTAGGGACCACTTAGTGTGGCGCATAAACATCCCGTCGCGTACGTTGGTTCGTGCTAATAATTTACGATTCTATGTATGAAATTTAATTGCAAGGGAAAGCTCGATATTTATATGTAACGATGTTCATTTTTAAAACAAATCTGTTAAAAGTTAATTGGAAGACTTCTCTATAGCTTCCTCAACTTTCTTTTCAATGTAAAATTTCAGTAATATTTATATCAATAAATTGCCTACAAAGTAGAGAAAATATATGGAGAATGTATATGATAAATCAGAAATAACTTGTCCCTGAAGAGGTTAAAAATAATTGTAAGGTCTCGTAAACGATGACTCTGGAGCGCGAACTTTATATCGCTTCAGGGACATGCGGCGTGAATGTACTTATTACAGTAAATTTTCAGCATTAACTGTACCTGCACATTTTAATGTGACAAGTCCAGAATTTAAAAACTTAATAATAGATAAATAAAAAATCACGAAACTGATAAAGTTCCCACGTTAGCAGTATCACTTTTATAAAAATTGCGCAATGCGCCTAAGATGAACTTCACCATGAAAGACTAAGAATTTAAAATAATTCGTCCCTGAAGTAGTTAAAAATAATTTGTTTGTCACGTTGGACACCGAAGTCTCATGAGTAGAGTTGATATTAATGAAAGCTCTGAAATTCCCCGAGGCTAATTAATAATAGCTAATTTCGAACTGTGAATGCCATCAAATGTACATACGATGCAACGTAATTAAAATTGCTTCCTTGTCTCACATATATAATAATAAACAATACGTTTCATAATAAATATGATATAGCCATTAAATTTTTAAGTTATTAAAGTAGTATTGATTATTTTATATACGTATCCCCAATGTTTACCAATCACAAATGCACGAGATTAATTCAATACTCAATACATTGAGACTAACTGATATAACTAGACGTTAAATTAAATGTTAATCTAAACGATAATGGCTCTTTATCGTAAAACAAGTGGCGTGTACTCTATAGATAATGATAAATTACGCAGATAGGATATCCTTTACGATCAGAAAGATTATTTGAACTAACCTGCATCTGTACGTACAACGAAAATTCAAAATTACGATTTCTAAACGTTTTATAACTTTAAGATTTTGCATTTTTGCAGGGGCAGAAGAGAGGGAGATGGAAGAAGTATTATATTCGAATGCGGGAAGGAAGTAATAATTGAAGCGCATGCACTTTGCTACAGGATTACGTTAATCGCACAAATACATCAATTATACCAAGCGTGCTCTAACACTTAAGCTAACATCTCCAATCAATCAATGCTGCTCCATTTTTCACGTAGATAAAGCATTTCAAACGAGAAGGCTACGAGTGCGAAGGGGGAGAAAGTGATAAATCTTAAACGATAGGCTTAAGTGCATCGACAGATCCAGAAATAACTTCGAGTGGTTCGAGAAGCGTTTGTGTGGATGGATACTTATATTCCAAATAAGATGATAGATATTTGTATTTGAGTAAGGAGCGTGTATAGCTGTCGTGTCTTCGGGTCTAAGGGAGGTTCAATAGGATCGACGACCGAGGAGAGCAAGCGGAGGATCACATTTAACGCGTGCGGGATCAGTTCTCCTTCAATAGGGAGATAAAAACAAAAACAAAAAATAAAAAAAAGAAGAGGAAAAAGAAGTTAACGACGAGCGGAGCGAGCACGCGACAACGAGAGGCAACGGCCCGTAATTCGCAGCGCGCGGGTTTAACGCTAAACGTGGCTACCTGAATGTCACTTGATGTCACTTGGTGCCATCCATCCTCATATCATCCTCTTTATGTCGCAACGATAAAACTTTTAGTGCGCTACTACGCGACCGCGCCGTTTCTACGAAGAGCTTTAATATTATTTCAGCTTTAAACGCGACGCCTAAACGGGAATATAAATTGCTTTCCACTCGCGACAAGTGGGCCGCCCTAGAGTCAACTCTGCTTTCCATTTAATTTGTGTCACCGCGTGTCGGTGACTCGAGTCGATTCCGCCTGACTCTGCTTTCGGTATATCGAATGATCCGAGATAGGGAGAGAAAGAGGAAAAATAGATATGGATCAACCACCATTTATCAAATTACATATCAGCGTGACCTTTTCACGTAGCAAAACCAAATATCATACATGTTATAATTGATATTATAAACCAGCTTATATTTACCTTAGTTTTACTTTAGCTTTACTTTAACTTTACTTTATGTATCAGCAAATTGTACGGTTATTACGAAATTAAATTAATGTATTATTGAGTTGCTCGGGACATTATACGGGTGCATTACTTTTTCCTCGACTTCTCCGCACATAACTGCTTTTGCCATTTATCATTTTACAGCTACGGATCTCAGCTGACTCAAGCCGGCACAAACGCCGTTAAAAATAAATCATATAAATAGAAGACGGAAATGAATATAGATCGAAGACAAAGACGACGCCTTCGGCGCTACAAGCTTCAATTTCCTTACTCTTATCTCGCGCCTAACAGTACGCAATTGTTTTATCTGGAGCCACGTTTAGAGATAAGAAACGCGACGCCAAGTAAACGCGTGTTTACATGCCGGGCCGCGGAATACGATAACGGGATACAAAAGTCAAGGAAGCTCGACCAAACGAACGTAGGATAATTCTACGTGGGGGAGTTTGTCGTTTCCTGTTGTTGCTGTGACGGTAGTGGTGATGGTGGTGGTGGTGGTGTTGATGATGATGATGATGAAATGATGGTAGTGATGGTGGTGGTGGTGGCGATGGTTATTGTTGTGTAGTAGCTGCGTACCGACAAAGTCCGACGAGAAAATATCTTTTAGCTTGGCTTTCTTCTGAACCTGGTCTTTCTGCGTGTGGTATACTTTACCGCACAAGGGGGTTCCCGCATTCGCGTGAGCATGAGAGAGAGAAACAAACAAAAAGAGAGAGATTTGTTTCGTTTTCTGCGGCTGAAGAGAACAGGGGAGTAAAAGATCGTGATCCGCGCGGTGGTCAGCGACGCAGAAGACGGGCGGGGGGAAAGGGGGT